AAAGTCACTTAGCATGATTGACAGTATCAAATTTAGCAAAAGGGATTTCTTTTTCAAGATGCTGTTGGTTCCTTTCCAAGAGCTCTGGTTCATGGAGTTCCTCCTGTGCACCAGATGTCTGCCTCCAGGCTCTGAAACACCTATCAACCCACACAGGGGACTTGTTGGCTTCCCACTGCCATGATGATGCAGTACGGAAGGGACTACAAAATGAAAGAATTCTTAAAAATCTGTTGTTTACTGAATCATTTAACTTCAGGTCAAACAGTGAGACATAGGTACACTAAAATACTTTGGAAATGAAAATTGCAACTAATACTAAGAAATAAGCAAATCAAAACGTAGGATTTATTTGTAAAAAGCACGGAGGGGATTTTCTTTTGTGGGTTGATGTTGAAAGAGATGAGAGAATTCTGTTACTATACCGCTAGAGATGTGAAGTGTTAGTACAGTGCTCCCTTGGCTCTACATGCAAAATATAATGTGTTTGCACAATTGTTGGTCAGGTTATTAAGCTCTGAAGGCACCTTACCCACAGGTGCAAGATTCTGAATAATATAATTTTTAGAAGTTAAAGAAAACAGAAGCCTAGGGATGAGCCAAAGTAAAGAATCAATAGAGAATAAGTAAAGTCAATTCTTAGCTTTCATTTAAAAAAAAAGTGTAATATGAGTATTGTCACATCTGAGATGCAAAGTACTAAAACATAAAAGATGTGGGTAAAATTCTTCCTTTAGCTCTCAGGCATTTCTCTCTTAAAAGGGTAAAGACAGAAACAAGAACATCTTGGAATGAAAGACATTTCTTTCCTGGAACTCTAATGGTAACACTGTATTATAAGGAGCCCCTTAGAAAGATGCAGAAGGCATCTTGTACTTTCATCTTGTACCAAGATTCAGATAAATTATACTTACTACATATGCACCTATGTGTAGTTAGAAAAATAACAGTGTTTACAATATGGCAGCATGGCACGGTGGTACAGAGCACAGGTTCTAGATTTAGACTACATTATCGCTTCTTGGCCTTTTGGCCAAGATCAAGTGTAGATTTAGGCAAGTTGGAATTCTGGCTCTAAGAGTCAGTAAGTAGGTCTATAATCTCTTGCAAATTCCTTAACCTTTCTAGACTTCAGTTTCCTCAATGGTAAAACAGAGGCAATGATTATCATTACCATACAGGCTTATTTTAAAGAGTAACTGAAATAAAACAATTAAAATGCTGAGAACAAAGCCTAGTATCTAGCAAGTGCTTAATAAACATTAGCCGTTATACTTTATTACATAAAGCATATAATTCAGTTTCTCACTGAATTCTTCTGACACTTCTGTGAGGTAGTAATTATTACTCTCATCCCATAGTTAAGGTGAGTTAAGTCACTTACCCAAAGTCCCGCAAAGTAAAGCAGGATTTGACACTGGGTCTGTCCAGTTTCAAGCCTATGTGCTTACTTCTACCTAATACTTCAAACGCTCCCCATAGGTCTTCTCTGTCACCACCATGACATTTATCAAGATGCATTTAAATTGGCTTTTGGCCGATCTTCCCCCTCAGAGTAAACTATGTGAGGACAGAACCTGGGTCCTGTATATTCATTTCAGTCCATTACTGCACGCCTGCACACTCATCCCTATTTCAGAGCCTCTGTTAGGTGCTGAGGTATCATGCTGGCTAGACAGATGGGGTCCAGTCCTCATGAAACTCAAAGTCTACTCAAAAAGACAGATAATCAAATAAAAACAGAATTACAAACTGCTATAGTTGTAATAAAGGAAAGGAACAGGGTGTTAGAAGAGGGCATAAGAGATGGAACTCAGCTAGTTAAGGGAAATCAAAGAAGACCTCTCTGAAGAAGGGACACAAACTGTGATGAGAAGGCTGAGTGGGAGTAGGTGAGGCAAAGAAACGGGGATTCGTTTTAACCCTCACTGGAGGACATGCTTAGAGAGAGGAAGGAGGGGAGAGAGAAACACTGAGAGTACACGCCTGGAATGGGGATCGAACCCGCACCCCAGGTACCTGCAACCTTTCAGTGCACAGAGCGATGATGCTCCAACCAACTGAGCCACTCTGGCAGGCAAAGGCAGAGGACTCTAAGGAGAGGCCTCACCTGGTGTGCGAGGAAGGGAAAGCCAGGGTGGCTAGAAAAGAGCCAGTGTGGCTGAGAAATGGTGAGCGCAGGGCAGAGTGGTATGAGATGAGAAGGGAGAGGTGAGCAACAGAGCACATAGAAGTATCAAGGATGGGGAGTTTATTTTCAGCACAATGGGAGTTACAGCTGTTGTTTAGAAGGATCACTCTAGCTGCAATGTGGACAACAGATTGGAAAATGAGAAGAGAAGAATCTGGGAAATCCACTGGGATTCTCTAAGAGTAGATGAAGGGAAATGTGATGGTGGTTTGGGACTAGGAGGGTAGCAGTAAGGGTAGGGAGAAATGTAGATTCAAGGTATATTGACTCCCCCATGCCTAACACACTGCCTGACAATAATAAAAACTCAATGATTTGTTGACTGATTCCTCAAGTAGAGCTGTTGCTAGTTCTAAGGCATCTACTAACCCACAGATGCACGACCTCACCCTGAGCAGTTTAATCATCTAGTGTACATGAGAGACACAGGAAGATGTTGGAGAAATGATTATTAAATTAATAAACCAGCTGGCAAGACTCCACTTATGAAAACCTCTTGATGTGTGAACGTTTCTTTGTAAAACAAAATGCCTCTCCCACTCTGACAATGGAGAATTTTAGAAGCCAGATATCTTTCTGCTGTGTGACTTTCTAAGCTTGTGGGAGAAATGTATTATTTAAAGTAGCCTGGAGCTATGCTGCCAGAAATACAGTGAAACACTAAAGGTGCTGAAAGAAAGTCCTTTCATTTAAGAGGGAAAAAAGCTGTAGTTAGAAAGACAAACTATACTCATTATTCTTTCTTCCTTATAAAAACATGGTCTCTGTCATTACTTCCTAAAACAGCAAAATGTTTTGATTACCCACTAGCAACAAATTCAAATGCAGAGTTAAAATATTTTCTTATAATCTGATAAATTCTCAATGTCAGAACAGAGAATGTCTTCCCTATGTTATTTAATAATTTTGACCTGTGTCTGTAAGATATTTATCCTGCTAAATCTATAAAACTAAAACCATTTGGAAAACCCAAATGTTCACAAGGATATGAGAACAAGAGAATCTATGATTATAGTCAATTGCATTCAAAATCTAATCCTTAATCCCATCACCCCTGAAAATGTCTTCCCATCCTTAACAGGCCAACAGCATTAAAAACAGAGTAACAAAGGAGTAGTCAGCTTACTTATAACAGCTTCTCTCTTGCTAGGACTAAGATGAACCTAAGATACCTATCAATTTCTTAGTAATTACAGCTTTATTTATTATTAAATTAGTTATAACAGTATATTGCTTAGACTAGGGTGATAAATTCAAGTGTTTGGGGCACAAATAAAGCTTAGTTTGTTATAGAAAAAGAGTGGTCATCAGCAAAAGGTTCAGCCAAGTGTCTTGCACAGCTTTTATCAAAAGGCCACCTAACCACCAGTGCCCCCACCACTGCTTCTGAAGAACCTCCAAGTATAAGTGGTAGAGATCAGGAGAATAAGAGGGGCCGAGCTGGATTTATAATCTGCCTTCTTCCATTTGGTAGAAACCATTTCCCCTACATGAAAAATAAAGCTTTATATGGTACTCTCTGTACAAACAGAATGTCTTTAGAGTCTTAAAAATGTTCTTTCTGCAGCACCAGAAAAAGATACTTAAGAGCATCAAATAATGTTTTGGTACTATTACTGTAAGAACTATTTTAAAGAATCTTGGTAACGAAGGCAGACAATAACAGAAACTCTTAGAAGATCACTGAAGTTTAAAGTTGAACAACACAAAGGTACAAATTGTTCCATCTATACTTCTTCACTCAAGAAAACAGGACTGTATATTATTGGCTAAAATTCATATTTTACCAACATCTGCACAAACTTAATATTCTAATTCACATAAACAAAGAGAAATGAATAACCTCACATTTATGTTATTTCCATTTTATTAAGGAAGCTCCTCCTTTCTCTTCGATTGTACCAGTGTGACTAGTACAAAATTACCTTCATTAATAGGAAAAGTCATTTATTCCAGTAGGGAAAATAAAAGCCTAAGCTTAGACCTTGAACAGCTATTAATTACAAAAAAAGAAAAGAAAATAGCATACCTTAAATGCAATGCTGTAATGAAATATACAAATTTATATTTGTATAATATTTGCCACAGGGTGTGGCAAAAGTAGGTTGTGAAACGGAGTTTATTCTTATAATATTATTTATTAATTATTGTATTATTTTCCATATGAACAACTATAAACCTACTTTTGCCACACCCTGTATTAATTATATTTTAAACAATATTCTATTCTATATGAGTGTACAAATCAAATGTTTTCATTCTCAGAATTATCTCAGACAACAGACAGTACAACTGAGTAAAAGTTGTAAATTCTCATTTTTGCTAAACAGTCTGTTTATAGAAAGGTCAATTAAAATGAATATATTCCAAGCCATCTATATATAAACAGAGACGACCAATATTTCTAAACTAAACAACATTAAAATGAGGTATTTCAATCAATTTTAAACCAAACGTAGTTTTGAATAGCAGAGAGCACAAAACATAACATCGCCGCTCATTTGAACCAAAATCTCAAACTTCTGGATTATTTATTTCTTCCAAGTTATAGGTTGTTTATTACCAAATTCACAATCCTTTGATATTTTCTTAAACAGATGAAATCTGCTTCTTTCCCCTAGGGAAATGTCAGACTACAGTGATATCTAAGAAATATGATTAAATTAGTTTAATTACTTCATGTCAACTTGATAAGTCACTGCTCTTTAATGCAAAAACTGCCACTTGTAATTAATGACTGTTCGTATTGCTTTAATTGATCAGATGCCTCATACATATAAAACATTGAAAGAAGTTCTGTATATCTTACAGCAATTCAGTGGAGAAGTCTTGTCCCAGGGGTATGTAAATCTGAAGTACAAGAAACCTCTGGATCAGTCCAACTAGAATGAGAGGGGGAAAAATACATTCACAAGTCCAAACTGGTTATATGTGCATACAAACAAACACAATCTAAGGCCACCAACAAACCCAAGCTGTTAGCATTTTAGTAACATGCAGATTGCAACAGCACTGCCCACGAGTTACAACCTCATTATGAAAGCAAAAGACTGATGAAAATCAAATCAAACACTAACAACAAATGTTGCCTTTTAAAGTCTCATGTGTAGATTTGGTGAAATTTTTATGAAAATTAAAAAATAATTTTTTATTTACTATTTTTAATAGTTTGTGAAAGAATGTACACACAGAACTGCATTCAATAGAGACACATAAAACTGAACTATAGATTCCCATCAAGGCAGCCATAAAAGCATGTAGTAATTATTTTTATTCACTGACAGTGTTAACTGTACTGAACAACTCAATAAAAAAACAATAGATCAAGAAAAACAATTCTAACTGCAGCTGAAGGTTTGATGAGCCATACCTAGTGTATATGGTTTTAAATATGGTATCCACATTGAGATGGAGAAAAGTATTTTCATTTATAATACCTTTTGTTAATTTAACACACTTTTAATTAATCTAATGCTCACAAATTAAGAACTGATAACTTTTATTCCCCATCACCAGCTTCATCTTCATTAAAAATATTTTGGAGAAATACCAATCCGGTGGTACTTTTGATAGGTCAAGTCTGTAACTGCTTCAAAATCAATTAATTTCATATTGCCTCTTCAGATTCATTCATTTAATTCCTTTCCTCTTAAGTTTTGTACTTCTGCTTGATCTCTCAATTATGATGCTTTTAATGGATGTTTTAGTATCACTACTTCCCAAAACATACCTTGTAGGGACTTTTTTCCTGACGTGGGTCTTTGGGTAGAATATGGAAATGTCTTGATTTATCTGACCTATCCTACAAATCTTATAGTACAGGCTAAACGCATGGATAAAAGAAGGCAACTGGTCTAAAATGCATGTTATTTTCTATTTATTCTGACTTAGTAAGCTTAATAAATTTAAGTATTTTAAAGTAATAATACATTTTATATAGTCTATATGAAGACCTTCTGGTTTACAATTCCTTTGGTAAACTGTTCAACAACATTTCTGAACCTGAAATTTAGTTTCTAAACAATAAACATATTTGATCAGATATGCCTAGTATCTTCAAATCAAGCATACAAGGATAACTTTTGCTTAAAACACTAAGCTGCCCTGGCTGGGTGGCTCAGTTGGTTGGAGCACTGTTCTATACACCAAAAGGTTGGGGGTTTGATTTCCAGTTGGGGTGCATACAGGAGGCAACTGATCAACGTTTCTCTCTCACATTGATGTTTCTCTTTCTCTCTCTCCCCTTTCCTCTCTCTCTAAAAATCAACAGAAACATATCCTCAGGTGTGGATTAAAACAAACAAACAACAACAAAACAGTAAGCTTATAAACTGTACCAGAGAGCCACCTGCAGAGTAAGCAATACAATAAAAATAGGGTATAGCAGTCTCCGGCCTTAGAAAATCCTCTAGGAATCAGATTCTACCATATTTATGGGAAGAGCCAGTGAGGCAGCCAGGGCCTGGACTACAAAATCAAAATAAGACAGCAAAAGGAGGCCAACTCAAACCACTGTTAATCAATCTCTCTTGTATCTTCCATTGATTGGCCCTTTGGTATTTTTCCACTGTACAATGGCCTCTGTAAATGGAGCTGAGGGAGCACCAGGATAAATGAAATGCAGTCTTTACAAAAGGTCCCTAATATATGTCACGAATCTCACTGAATCAGCACTGTTCTCTTCAGACACAAAGAACTACACATACAGGGCATTTTTGTATGAACATTTTCAGATATGAAAGACACTTGCCCTCAAGAAAAGAAACCTTTGTAATTCAACTTTCTCACATATAGAGAAGCCCTAGTTTCCAAAAGGCTCCACTTCTAAGATTAAAAGAAGTATCACAATACTATATGGTGATGATCTGACAAAGAAAAAATACTTTAATAACATATGACATACACTGATCCTGTGTGTCAGAAAAGCTATATAAACTCTATAGTAATATTTTTTCTAATGGCCTAGTAAATTCAAATGGACTCTTCATCTCTACATTATATTTAAAATCACTGTAAGTAATGCTGAATGTGGAACTGCTGCTAGTCAAAAAACTGTCCATTATGCACATAAAATTCACAAAAATTTAGTTTTTTTATGGAAATATGCAGGTTTCTGCAGTTTTATAATTTGTTCTCTGACTGAGACAAACTACCTCTATTTTGAAGGGGTCAAGTCCTTTCTTCTTCAGAATATTTTAAAACACATTTAACTGGTAAAATGCCATTAGATGTTTAAACAGCAGTTACAGTTGTTCCCTTACAGAACATGCCAGTTGCACACCTCAATACATTTACAAATGTTGCACTGCCCAGAGAGTTGGGACAGTCATCCTTTAAGAGTGCCCTGATAAATCACGCTGGGGCTATTTACGGGTTCCAATCCCAGCCTTGGCACAGACAGCACACCAGCCTGCACCTCGCCACTTCCATACAGACAACAGGAAACAGTTACCCTTCATCAGGGGTTATTCCACATCCCTTGGGCAAATGAGAAAACCTGTCTGGGTCCTTTTACTTTTCATGTGTAAAACTGGGTGAATAATTTAGAGTCACAAATTATAGGCTTATTTATATGGATTAAACTGGATCTATTACTCAATAAAGATTTATTGAGCATCTACTATGTACAAGACAGTGCTGAAGTTTCTATAGTGAAAAGGTCAGAGTGCTATGAAAGCATTGAATCCTGGGTCCTTAGAGGGAAAGGGAGGGTGAGTCAAGATTTTCTTGAAGAAACGACATTGGAATTCAGCTAGAAAGAATAAGCAGAAACTGACGGAGCAAAGACAACGGGGGGTAGGAGAGAGAACAAATTTTACAGGGAGAGGAATACTCCATCGTGTGATGAAAAAGGCAAACTTAAAGGCCTAAAGGGCAGACAGGAAAGACAGAAAGTGAAAAGCAGCAGGAGATAAGTCTGGCAAGTAGCTAGGAATTCAATCATTTGGGGCCTTGAAGGCCACAGGAAGGATATAGGTCATCCTAAAATCAATGGGAAGCCACTTATATAGTCATTAATTTATTCAACAAAGATTTGCTGGATGTCTACTATGGTGCCAGGAACTGTTTTAGGTGAACAAAATAGACTAAATTTCTATAATGGTGGCAGTTACTTTCTGGTAATGGTGAGAAAAACAGCAAATAAATAAATAAATAAATAAATAAATAAATAACATGTTAAATGGTGATAAGAGGGTTTGGGAAAAGTAAAGCATGGTAAAAGGGATCAAAAGTGCAGAAAGGATCCAAAGCACAGGTCAGGTTCAGGCCTGAAGAAGGGGAGTGTGAGCCATGCAGCCATTTGGGAAGATGAGGCTCTAGGCAGAGGGTGCAGCTTGTGCACAGCTGCTAGGGTGATAAGGTACCAGGCTATGTTTGGAGCAGCAAGGACACCTGTATGGTTGCAGCAGAGCGAACAAGGGAAAGAACAGGAGATAAGGTCAGGGAGTTAGGAGGGCACCAATACTGCAGGGTCCTACAGATCTTTGGTTTTTACTCTGAGGAAGATGGGGCATTTTCAGCAGGGGAGTGCGTTACACTGACAAGTATCACGCTAGCCACTGAATTGACAGCAGGAGACAAGTCAGGAACAGGGAGGCCAAGTAGAAGCCTATTGCAATATTCCATGCAGGAGATAACGGTGGCTTGGACATGGGTAGTGGCAAGAAATAGTAGTCAGAGAATGAATCTAACATAAATATAGAACCAACAGGATCTTCCTGATGGACTGAATGAAGAGGAAAAAAATCAGGTTAATTTAAGAGCTTTTGGTTTTGAGTAACTGAAAAGACAAGCTGCTAACAACTGAGATGGGGCTGTGTGCTGGAGGAGGGGGAGGAGGAATTTCTAGGGCAAAGCTGTCCAAGTAGAAATGTGAAGTAAGCAACTGAAAACACAAGTCTGGAGTTTGAGAAAGAAGTGTGAGCTGGAAATATAAGCTGGAGTAAGATCAAGAAGGCATAGACAAGGGAGTGAATGTAGATAGAGGGTCAAGGACGAGGTCCAGGAGCACTGCAACATTAAGCCATGTTCCGGAGAAGAGGAAGAGCCATGAAAGGAAACCAAGAAGGAAGACCGGTGAATCAGGAAGAAAACTGAGAGTGGGCATCCTGGAAGACGAATGAAGAAAATGTACCAAGGAGGAGGGTGTCAACCTGGTCAAATGCTGCTGATATGGTAAGGTGAGAGCTGAGAATGGCCACTGGGTTCAGGAATACAGAGATCGCCAGTGACTCTGACAAGAGCACTATCAGTAGAGTGGTAAGGTCAAAGCCATGGAAGGGTTTTAAACAGAGGAATTCATAATGAGATTTATTTTTAAAAGAATATCAAAGTGGGGCCGGGGGAGGCTTTGGGGGAACCTCATAATGATGACTTCATCCTTCAGGGCAGGGACGCTGATCCCAAGACGTACCACTGGGTTCAGATGCCACAGGCAGAGAGAATAATGGTTTCAAGGATGAGCCTCACACAGAAAGACCCAGTTGCATACGGGCAATTCTATATGACATGTTCCAGGGTGAAGAGCACTGTGGATTTACTTATTTACCTGGCTAATGATTTACTCAAGACTCCTTATCAAAGGAAGCTGGTTACATTTAGAAATTATAATCTAAATTGTTATAGTTTCTTTATGTGACAAATTTAACAAATTTATTAAACACCAACTACGTACGATACACAAGGTAGGGGTACAAAATAGATGATGCAAGAGTCCTGCACTGGAGAAATGTACAATCTGATCATTAGTATCACTTTATTTGATAAGATGCTAAGTAAAGACCAACCAAACAAAAACCTTTGACATATTTAGAGATGCTCAAATGTAATTCAGAAATAGTACTATTGAAAATGAAAAGTAAAACATACTTAATTACATTATTAAGCTTTCTTCAGAAGCACCTAATATATTAGAAAACATAATGTGGTACTGAATGTCAAATCTGTACAAATAAAGTGAATGTTTACTCTTAAAATAGAAATACTTAATGGCAACTGAACTAAATTTAGAAATGTTAATTGAAAGCCAATTCTCTATTTAAGGCATGCTATTTAATTTAAATTTAAGCATAACACATAACATAACTTCACACAGAAGATCATTTTATACAAGCAAAGCTAACTATTAAAGCTGTTATCAAAAATTACAAATAATCTTAAAGGCATTAGTACAAAAATTACAAATAATTAATTTTATAGACTGTATAAACTGTTTCATTTGCTACAGTATTGCACATGCTACAAGAAGAGCCAGATTAATTTTTAATTACAGGGCATTGTACAAAAAATACATTAAAAGATTCTTCTGTTTCTTCCAATTAAAACTATCATTTTCCCATTTAAAAAGCAATTATAACAGCCCCTAGCCAGTTTGGTTCAGTGGTTAAAGCGTTGGCCCATGAACTAAAGGGTCCCGGGTTTGATTCCAGCCAAGGGCATGTACCTGGGTTGTAGGCTCAATCCCTGGCAACCAATTGATCTTTCTCTCTCTCTCTTTCTCTCTCCCTTCCTCCCACTGTCTCTGAAAGCAATGGAAAAAATATCCTCAAGTGAGGATTAAAAAAAAAGCAATTATAACAAATTAATTTTTTTTTTTTTTTTTTTTTTAGATAAAAGTAGGAAAAGGAATGGGGTGGAGGGATTGAGGGAAAAAACTAAAAAAAAAAAAAAAAAAAAGGAGGAAAAAGGAGCTTGTCTTTAGACACTGAACCTTTGGTAGAGGAGAAATGTTTTTCAGAACCACCTGAGAAAGGTTACTGGAAGTGGTTTGATTTTGTCGATAATATGATCATGTACATGGAGGCTGAGGGCATCACATGAAAGTATAAGCCAACAATAAAAAACAACACTGACTTATATTAAGTCATGCTTCTGCAAATCAAATGTATCTCTCTCACAAAGTCAATATCCTTAAGAAAGATGGAACATTTCTCCTGCAAGAATAAGCTACAATTTCAGACACATTTCCCCGGTTCATCTTAGTTTATCTCATTTAGATGTATAAATTCTTGTAAAAATGAAAAAAAAACACCCCTGCTATTTAAAAACAAAAACAGGGACTGTGAGGAAATCATGGTTTGTAAAATTGTAGTAAATTAATAAAAATTATGTTAACAATGATTATTCCTTCTCTTTGAGGTTCTGCTTCCTATTTTATTTTAGAAAGAAACACTGGCAAACCATTTTTAAATTAATCACCTTCTATCTATAACTTCTATGGCTTGGCTTATGTCTTAGAAATCTAAAATATGCACGTAGTAGCTTGAAGTGGTAGATGAAGCACAGAGTCTATGAAAGTTTAGAAAACTGAATTAAAATGAGAAAATGAGGTACCAAGAATAGTCTTTTCATAGTATCTGGTACACAGTAGTATTCAACAAATGTTCTTAATGAATAAAGGAAGAAAAAAGTAAATGACGAGTGTAAAAAATAACTGGCTCCTTGTATTTGCTAATCACCTAAAATCTATGTTTAAAACACAGGACAAAGTTGATGAAAATCTGATTAAACACTTGGAACAGTTATATTTCTTAAATCACATCAGTTTATTCAAAGCCTAATTTGGTGGCAGAGCCTGGAATTTTCACCCCAGTTCTGCCAATAAGTGGGCTTCTAATCCTAAATGTAGGTGATCTCTCAGGGTTTCTTCTGCTTTAAAATGCTGACCCTAGTTTTCAAAGTAAGAATTGAAATCTACTCTTTGGGCTTTTGTTAAAACACATGTTAATATCTATGCTTACTAGATATTTATATTTTTAAAGGTATAGAGGTTGATATGTCACTAAATAACGTTTTCTAGAGTATTTTATGTAATTGTTTTCTCACAAATTAATTTCCTAGAATTTAGGAACTCCTGAATTTGTTTCAAAGCTTAGCCTCAACTCCCTGATTTCTTTTTTTTTCTTTTTTTAATCCTCACCTGAAGATATTTTTTCCATTGCTTTTCAGAGAGAGTGGAAGGGGGAGAAGGGGGAAAGAGAGAGAGAAACATCGATGTGAGAGAGACAGGTGGTTGCCTCCCGCACTTGCCCTGTGGGGATCGAGCCTGCAACTGAGGTAGGTGCCCTTGGCCAGAATCAAACATGGGACTCTTCGGTCGGAAGGCCAATGCTCTAACCACTGAGCAAACTGGTTAGGGCAGACTACCTGATTTCTTGACAAGGAACCAACCTCAGTGTGCTCATCTATATAAGAGCTATAGTGAGGATTAAAAGAGTTAAATGTGAAATGCTTAGGAAGTCATACGCACATAGTAGATACTCAAAAAATACCATTACTATTATAATTAATGGCTATTAAATAATCCTCTAAATCTTTTTTTTTTTTTAAATATATCTTTATTGATTTCATAGAGAGGAGAGGGAGAGAGAGAGATAGAAACATCAATGATGAGAGAGTCATTGATTGAGCCCGCAACCCGAGCATGTGCCCTGACCGGGAATCGAACCCCGATCGCCTGGATCCTAGGTCGACGCTCAACCTCTGAGCCATGCCCAGCCGGGCAATCCACTAAATCTTAAAAATACTGCTAGATTTCTAGTAAACACTGAAGCAGAACATTTTTTTAAAAACCTGGCATATGGTTACTTTTGAAATTAAAAAAAATCTTATCACTTCATGTCAACAGATGCCAGTAGAAGTCAAACTAATGCCTGTGTATGAGACTTAACAGTACAATTCTGAGCATCAAATGTTAAGGTTCAGTATTAAAAATCTTACTTACGGATCTGCTTATTCTCCTTGGGTAACTGAATTTTGTTTGTCTGGCTGCTGCCTTCCAGGACAAACACAAAACTTTTAACTTCTTTATCAAACTCCTGTAGAATAAAAACAAAAACAGTGGTAACTGAAGTGTATTTTGTTTGGCTTCTAGTATAAAATTGGAGCTGAAAACTCACAGGAAACAAGCCCCAGGTTCAAACGACTTAAAAGTAGACTTGGGCGTTGATACTCTTACCCTGAGACCTACGGGGAACTGGAGTACAGAAGCCACACTAAGCCACTTGGCAAATCCTCTGTCATATCAAGGCACTCTTCCTCCAAATGATAAAAAGTTCTCCAAGTTTAGGGATTCTCAAGTTACTAATTTCCGGTTTCCAGAGTTTATTTACTCTCTCTTTCCTTTAATCTATGTATTTCTGTCTAACAGCACAGGCTGAACATCCTAATACAGTATAATAAATCATCTACCCTACGTTGTATCCAGTCTGAAAGTTCCTTGGTTTCTGGCCATGGCTCATACAGAATTAATCATTGCCTTTTTTATTTTTTTAACTAGTGCTCTAACTTTAAGTTCCATATCATTTACTTAAAATCAGTACAGATTAAAGTGCTATAATTAAGGTGACCTAAAAATCTAAGGTTGGAGAATGGAGAAATAGAAAAAAACAACAAAACAAAATGAGTCAAAGTGGTAATGTAAATGGTTATTTTTTTATAGACCAAATTCTCAATCTCTGAGTATAAAAGACGCTTTTTCACATTAAAATATTTATAGATCCTCCCACTCTCCTGTTTTGTATATGTTAAAAAATGTTTTGTAACTGATGGCTGCTAAGAATTAAGTAACATTTTAATAAATTTATATTATACCCATCGCGACAGCATCTCCTACATATTTGAAATGAATAGACATATGCCAAGTGTATTATTTATTCCACAAGTTGAGCATATACTTAATACAGTTTACCAAAATCTTCAACATGGTCCATAAGCCCCCACGCAGTCTGGTCCCTGCCCAGTTTTCGGAACCCCATCCCCTACCTTGCACTCTTTTCTGTCTGCATCCCAGCTTTTGTAGCCTTCTTGCAGTTTCCTAAAAATTCTAAGCACTTTCCTCACACAAGGACTTTGTACGTGCTTTTCCCTTTGCCTGAAATGCTCTGCTTTCCACCAGCCCCACCCAGTGCCTCGTTAGCTCTTAGAGATCAGATGTCATTCCCTTACGAAGTCTTTCCTAATTTCCCTGCTATACACCCTCACAGCATCATTTATCTCTCATTCATAGCAAGAGCTGGATAACTATGAACAAGTCGCTTACCCTCTTCATGCCTCAGTTTTATCGTCCATAAAAGGGGCATAAAGGTAACTATCTCACAAGGCTATTGTACAGATCACATAACATGAAATGTACTTAATGCTGTGCTTGGCAAACAGTAAGCACTCAATTAATAGTAGTTTTTAAAAGTTATCCATAGAACTGAGTACCTAGAAAGGCATTTTCCTCTCCAGTATATGGGAGAAGAGAAAAAGAAGACAGGAATGGATATTAGTCTTTAGATCTGGTGGCAGCAAGCTGAGGTAGTTTCTACCTGATGGCATTGGTTTTTCCTGTGAAATGAGGTGTGAGGTCTGGTGAGTGAGGAGGACCTGTCTGGGTGTGGACTGGGGATGGGAGTAGGGAATTGGTGGCTGAAAATCTGAAGATAATGGAGAAAGAATTATTTTAGAGACTAAGAGAACACAGAAGAACTTTCTGGGTCATTCAGGTTGAATTTATAGCATCATCAACCTGAGAGGCTACAGATATTTCCCCCAAAGGTATGGAGAAGCCCAGACGCAGGTAACTGGGGATTCCGAGGGACGTGTTTGCCAGGCAGGCGTGACTACAGAACGAGTGGCAAGGGCGTGCGAGGTCTTAACCAGGCGCTGACTGAAATCATGGACTAAGGACTCTGGGCTGGCCAGAAAAGGAAGTGACAACAGAGAAAATACACACATAAATAAAACTAAACACTGGGGAAAGGAGCATGGCCAACGTCTGAGAGTCTGAATTAGGTTGAGGAACAAACACAGTGGGAGTAAGTGGGCAAGCAGCCTTAAGAACTGAAGATCGGGGTCAGAAGGGATGTCTTGATACCTCACTTGGTAATTTCAGAGGCCCTGCAGTTTATGGTGACAAGGTACAGGCTATGACGATGGGAATGAGTGTTAAAGTAGAGTGGAAGAGGCCAACAGGAATGAAGAAATCAAGAAACTGAGGCCCTGGCCAAGTAGCTCAGTTGATTAAAGAGTCGTCCCCATATGCCAAGGTTGTGGGTTCAATCCCCAGTCAGGGCACATACAGGAATCAACCAATGAATGCATATATGAGTAGAACAACAAGCCAATGTTTCTCTCTTTGTCTCTCTCTGTCCCCTCCTCTCCCTCTAAAAATCAATCAATAAGTAAAAATAAAAATTAAAAGAAACTGAGAAGCTAAGGGTTTGGAGAGATTTTCCTCACAGATACTGAAGTCATCTAATTTACAGAAGGGCTGTGAGCCTCATGCCTAAGTTTTAAACAAGCGAGGAGTGCTGTCTGGGAGGACTGTAGTCAACAGTGTCATGAAAAGATTTTGGAGAGAATGAACAGGAAAAACAGTTCTGAAATCTGATTGAGCCCTTTCTGTTATAACTGCCACTCTCATTTCTTTCTAGGTTTCAGGTGGCTCTAATTTCTCACACTTACTTTCCAAATCACAGAGGGACTGCCAAGGATCTTCCATTTTGCCCCAGGATTTTTCCCCTGAGCACTAAAGATTTCAACAAATGCACCTCCCTAGAAAACAAAAATGAAATATTTAAATTAAAGTGAAAGACAAGGCTAAGGAGAAGACACTACCCACCACACAGCCTACAACCATTGTTCAGGCTTCTGTCAGGTAAGTAGATCTGGGAGAAAACATGATCCTACTTTATACCTTGATCGTATCTAGCCACAGCAGTTCTGATTTGAGTCACCCTGGATTAATGGTTTAAGGAATTTTTGAAAGCATGATAAACATTAAATGAATTGTGCTATACAAGCCTTATGATCTCTTAGTGTGATGTTCATTTACTTGACATGTACAGATCATGCTTATAAAACATGCTATTCAACCCAGACTAATAAATTCTGATAATTATCTTTTTAGTCATCCTGGCCTGTGCTCCAATACCAGCTTTGCCATTTATTAACTACCTGACTTTGGAGTGACTTAGCTTCTTAATTCTTCATCTGTAAAATGGATTGTTGGATTACACAGGATAGTAAACATAAACCATCAAGCACAATCTCTTGAACATAGCAAAAGTTCAATCGTGTCAGCAATAACTGTTCCAAAAAGGGCAAATTAATAGTTTAGTGGTCAGTAAAAATGTTTGGGAGGGAGTGAGGAAAAGAATGATTCTTATTTTGAACATTCCTATAAATCTTTTTATACAGGGTGGGGCAAAAGTAGGTTTACAGTTGTCTGCATGGAAAATAATACGCTAATAATAATACAATAATAAACTGTGTTTTGCATACTCACAACTGTAAACCTATTTTTGCCTCACCATGTATATTTAATACAAATTAATCTAAGAGATCTATAAAATTGGTACAAGAAGGCCCTGGCCAGGAGCTCAGTTGGTTAGAAAGTCATCCCAAAATACCAAGGTTGTGGGTTCGATCTCCTGTCAGGACATACACAAGAATCAACCAATGAACGCATGAATGGGTTGAACAAGGAGTAGATATTTCTCTCTCTCCCTCCCTCTCTCTAAAAAATCAACAAATAAAAAAAAAAGTTAAATCTGTACAAGAAAAATATAGAGAATCTACTGTAAACCTGAGAACATGGAGGGGCATGTTTATGTAAAAAACACTAAACCTTACTGGATTTCCATATCCTTTAATTATAAAGGAGAGGAATTAAACAAGATGATTATCTCTGAGGAAGAGTTTATTGCAAGAAATTGAGAACCTAAAATAAAGACTAAATATAGTTTTCTTTTATGGCCTGTATGAATAAGCAGCACATGTCTGATTTTTGTAAAGAACTTCCAGCTTTTAATTTTTCTCAATAATATAAAGACAGTTTTGCTTCTGAGTTTTAATGCATAATCACTTAAGGCATTTAATTTCTTCTTCCTTTGGCATTTTATGTGCAAACTGTGTGTGGATAGAATTACTACAGCTTCTGGGGGCAGGTCGTATTTCACTATGAATTTTAAATGTGAGGCAGCTTCTTATTTATTTTAAGAAAAATCCTTATACCTTGGTGAAGCAGAAAACTGCCACTCCCCATTTCTTTTTCTCTCCTGTTTTCCAAGTTTCACACAGTAGGAGTATGCTTCTTTTAAAAAAAAATTATAACAATAAATTTTACCTATATTAAGTGAGAGAAACTCTCTAAAATTGTTCTAATTGGAATAGAAAAAAGAGAACTGCAAAATAGTCTCAGGGCACTCATGAGAAGGCAGGTAGCGTTTGTTTGGTGAAAAGGCAGAGGCAAGAGAGTTGGAGAGCAGTGGAGGGCTGTTCTGGCACAGGAACGGCACAGGGACACAACCGCTCCTTCTCACGGCAGGACCAGGATGGGAAACAGGTTGCAAACAGAGAGTGTAGAGGGTGTAAGCTCAGAACGAGGTGGGAGGGGCGGGCAGGAGACGGGGCAAAGGAAGAGCAGGAAGGCAGCTGCCGGTGCCCAGAGGAAAGCAGGTCAGGCGCTGAGACGCCCTAGGATGCTCAAGGCGACGGAGGAAGACCCAGAACCAGTTCCCCCCTGTGATCCCCGGGCCCGCGCACCGGCAGGAAGGGGGGGGG